TTTTCGCCCTTGTATCGAAAACTACTATTTGCAAACGATAAAGAAGGCGATGAAACAATCCAAACCAATTTTTCAGCAGTTTTTGTAGAAAGGTAAGTTATTGAATTAAAAGATTTAAATCCTGAAGTATGTTTGCACACATCCTGAGAGTAAAGAGGAACGAACGGTCCCAGGTTAACCGACAACATATTTCTACATTAAATCAACAGGCAAACTGAATGGATATAATGCTGAATGCTGTTTCCGATTTTTTCCAATTTATCCTAAGATACACTTAATCCCAGTTGATTAGGAAAATATGTTCGAAATCTACATAGAAACCCAATATCGCGAAAAAAAGCGAATACCCAAGTTCACTAATGGACGACCGTTAAAAATTTTACTTGGAAATTCGGGTGGTTATATAGCGAAACATGCAACGTTTATGTTGCCAAATTACTTTCCCCAGACAAGGCAGCAGTTTCGCTTATTGCAACCAAATGTTTTTTATTTTCTCCGAAATATTCCGGCCCTTTTTCCGTTTCCGAATAATATGGTTCTGAGGTAGAAGAATGGAGCTCGTAATCGGTTAATCTGCGTTGTGTGTTATTTTTTTGAGGGCAGTTCGAGCTGCTTCCATGCAGCCGATTCCTAGAAAGCCTTTCCTATCCCACTAGTGTTATTAATTTTGGAAAAACAAGCAAAACATCAAACGCTGCTGCGAGTGTCGAGATCTCAAAGCTTTATTTCACTTATAAACATAACGTTTCGCTTTGTGGTGGAAATGACGGTTGGTGCACGGAATGATAAACCGATAAGAGCGCTTTCGAGGCGTTCACTAAATGGAAAATTTATTTCATACATTTTAAACGGAACTACGAAATAGTGAACCTTTTGAAAAGTTGTTTATTTAGGAGCGAAAACTGAGGAGACCAACCGCGATATTGCAAGTGCGAAATTATCATTATGCAACATCTTAGCTGTTGATTTTACTTACACTAGAAGTGAGCGTGTTTTCTGCAAGAGGATAATCCCTGATGGGCTCTTTCCATTCAACTAAAGCCTTGTTCAGTGAAGCAGCTTTAATATATTTGCAAATTTGTTTGCATTAGCCAAGATTCAATAAGGGAAGTTCGAGTCTTGCGTTAAAGGAATTGCAACTTTGACTCGCCAAAGTCAGTGTGCATTTTCTAATACCCCGAGTCAAGTATGGGCCTTCGGAATTTTATTGAAAGCCGGGACTTTGTACTGTGGTTCAATCAAGAACTTTTATATGCCATTCAATATAGCTGATTCATGTATCGCCTATATGGAAGATTCGAGAGCTTGTTACTTGTATAAATTTCAATCGTTTCACAAATTGATTTTTTGGGAAACTTTTTTCAAGGATATAATTTTGAGTGAAGTAAGGTCGATGAGAATATAGAGCTGAAATTATTTTACAAGTGATGCAATGTATGAAGTTTTATATTCAAATGTTGCATTTTTTGTGGAAACTTCCGCTATTTTCACTCAAGCTCCACATAGTTTGTGGGGTTTTTAATTCTCTTCCAGTTCTGTAGCTCAAATGTTTCTTGAGATTCTTGAGCTCAAAACTTCTCTGTCGATTAATTTTCATTATTAGGAATCTCGGATTACAAGAAACTCTTGTCCACTAACTGTACTTAAACATTCTGCTGTTAAAATTGCTGTTTAAAAAGTGGATTAATTCTACTTGTACCCATCGCTTACATTAAATATACAGAATTCGTTAAAGGCAATGCCAGATTTGATCCAATTTGTAAACCCAACCATCAAAGCAGCAACGTCTCCTAATAAATATGAATTTCCCTATCCAATTTCGTCTGAGAAATGGAAATATCGGAGCCATATAATTGAAATACATTGATTTGAAATAAGACTGTCTGGTTGATGTATTCAATATGTATTTATGTTAATTTTTCAGCGATTCCTTACTTAACGTTTGCCGGAAAATATTGCTGTTTGTTATTTGAAACGGGAAAATATTGCCAAAAATGAAACTTTATTAAAAATTGAGCTTCTTTGTAGTTGTCAGACTTTCCTCGGTCATTATCAGGCAACTTCAACGCTCAAATCTGAGTTACGCGAAAGCTTAGTAATTAAAAATGTAATTTGTAAATAGAGAAAAGCGTTCAGTGCTAGACGATGTAATAATTAAGATTTGAAATTTCGGTTGCAGAGCTTTTAGGAGCAATAACAGTAAATCGGATTACAAAATCCACATACAACCTCAAAACCTCTCGAATTTTGCCTCCCTTCCTCGGTGATTAAGAGTAAATTTACGATTGGCCAAAAAGTGCGTCACCCCTGAACTCACTCCATTATTTATTTCCATCTTATAAATTTTCCCTTTTTCATTTTTAAACGCACCAGAAAGCAGCGATAGCTTCGCTTCATCTTGTACCCAGGTGGTTAGCTTCTTCAAGAATGCATATATATCATAAAAATATGTTTCATTAAAGGCAGGAATCTGCTTTGGATCCCGTTTTTATTATTTCGCAGAGTTTTTACGAGCTTCACCTGCTAGTGGGTCGTATTTTTCACTGCTTACGAGATTTTCAGGCGTGAAACTTTAACTTGTATATTGGAGCCGATGAGAATGAGTAAATAAATCAGTACTCTTTATGCGGAGCAGATAAAAAACCGCCCTAAGAAATTTGTAAGAAAGCGAGGATTTGCTCGAATGAAACCAATGGAAATGGAGACGCATATTGAACGTTCCTATTTAAGCAATTAAGCTGCTCTAAATGCAAAACATCTATTAAGCATGGGATCTTATAGATGGGAAACTTCGATGATGGGAATAAGCCACGGCAATCCCCGAGCAGATAATGCCTTAGAGGCTCTTTGTGTATGAACTCGCCTTTACTTAGTGGAGCAAATTTAATATCTTAAGAAGTGTATTTTCTCTATAGCGGGTTTTAAAGATGAAGTTCTTCGAGTAATTATTATGGAAATTTCCGATTATAAGTAGTGCTTCTTTTATGGGAAGTATTAACTGCATTATTCAGCATTATTCAAAGCTTGTTACTATACAAAGCGATTGAAAAATATTGCTCAAATTTTTAAGGATAGAAGACGTTTGAGCATGAACGTGAATGGAAAAATATCTCTACAGTTCTGCAGTTTTATGGAAATTAAAACTTTTTTTAAATTGAACTATTCTTGTAGAAATGCTTTAATATTGCCTAATGCGATAAGCTCCAGTGGCGGTTTGTTTGTTCAAATTGAAAATTTTGCCCACTAGTAGATAACTGTTCAGCCCATTTGTTGCAAACCGCTTTTAATTCAATGATAAAGTTGGAAGTTGTAAATAACAAATCAAATTAGCGGATATAGTAATTATCCCGAAGGTATCATAAATACATTAGCTCGGCCACATAAAATAATTCCGAAAATGGAATAATCTACGAATAATAATGTTTTATTACATTTATTTATTAGGCCTGGTAATGCTACTGATGGTCATACATAATAATAATAACTTTAGGGCATATTGCGATAATCTATCGCAATTACATTAGCACGTATGGAAGTAAATGGGATTAAAACAATATAAAAAAGTGGTTGATGGGAACCTAAGATTTAGACAAATGATTAAGAAAATATGACGAATATCAAAGGATGATGAGTTGATCATGCAAGCCCAAATTTGGGCAATTTTTCCTTGATGCAATAAAAAGAATTTTGCCTTCAACTTGGGAAAATAGTCCATTTTTTTTAAATATTAAAGCCTGTTATTATAGCAGAAAATTGCGATTTGACTTGAAGTTGATTGTTTAGACAAGCTCATAATGAAACCAGTTCTACGGCAACAAAAATATGAAGTTGCGTGTTAACCGCGGCTCCAATTTGCATAAGAAAAAGTTTAACGGTCGAAATACTACTTAAATCCTTTTTCTACTAATTTAATAGGCATTGTGCCCCATTTTATTTGGGCATGATAAGCAAATCGAATCTTGTATTTCATTATGCAAACTAGACTAAAAGCGGGAATTTGCATTTTTTCCTACCAGAGCCAGATTTGTCTTGGTAATCTGATTGTGTGTGTCAACAACACCTTGATTGGTTATGAGTAAGATTGATGGTTGGCCGAGTCTAATGTAT